CGTTCTCTTTTAACTCTGTTTGCGACCAACTGAAGGTAACTTCGTAAGAACTGTCATTATCCATAAATAAAACATAATCTTTAGTTTTTAATTTCTGATTTTGTCGAACATTCCAATAATCATAATTGATCAATTGCTTTAATCTTAGTTCTCCGGCTTCACCCTGAAATGAACAAGTATATTTTTGTTGTACAGAACTATATCAAAAAGAAGGCTCATTCTCAAAAAGGTAAACAAATATATTTTCTAGAAAAGCATTAATAGAAACTTGTTTTGTGCCAACTGAGTGCCTGTTAAAACCAAGATGTTTTTAATAAGAACTATAAATTCATCTTGATAAATCATGATTTGCTCAAAAGGGGCTTAATAAGTAAATAACGGTGGGTATAATTTTGTTATTTCGATGTCTAATTCTTTTATGGGTTACAAGTTCTTTTTGAGTAGAAAAGATTTCTTGACAAAGTTGGCATTTACTGGTCATTGTCAAGTTTTATAGATGTCATATATTTGTATATAATGACGTGAGTATATAAAATTTTTATTTTGATCATTGAAAATTTTTATTGGTTATCTATTTTTAGATATCACGTTCAATTCAGGTGACATATTCGAATTGTAAAAATCCGCCTATATAATTCAGAATAAAACGAATCTGATTGGTGAATATTTAGAGATGGGTTCGGCTACTGTTAGTGGCTACTGGTCGTCAACACATGCGAACCAATCACCACCAAACAACACAACCAACCACACGATACACCCAAATATTAGAGGCAGTAGGATTTGGCAAAGTAAGGCTAAATCGAGTATATCGTGGGACAAAAAGCAACCTAATCACGACTTTTATGTGAACGTTCACTACTCTTTATTAAGGGCAAAAAGAGCCTCATTTTATACAATTTTATATACGAGGTGGAATGAAAAGAAAAAATCAAAATTTTGACCCAAGCCCATCATACCGTTTTGCCACCTCAGACTTACAATTGTTTATTTACCTCAACACTGCCCCAAAGCCAAAGGTCTTGTGGTCTTGGGGCTTCGTGAGAACAATTTCCTCTTGATTTCTTAGGTGCTTCGGGTCGGATTTTTCGTCACATTTTCAGGCCTTGTGACATCAAATTCAGATTTTGGCGGTTTTGCCACCAACACTACAATCGGCTTGATCACTATAAGCAAATTGCGGGTCTTTCGCCATGCTTCGGGCCTCGTGACGTCGAATTCGGCGCAGTGTATTTTTTATAAGATAAATTCTCTAAAATATGAAATCTTAAAATTCATCAGAACGACTTGACTGACCCTGTAACCAATTAATATTTGGATTTATCTTATAAGTAACTATGACTAAAATTTACCCCTGAATAATTTTAATTAATGACTTATAAAAAAAAATCATTTCAAAATTACTTATAGTCGATTGTTGTCGTTTGTAGCCGAATCCATTCCTATATTAATATTCATATAATAGATTTGTGTAGCTATATAGGCAACGCTAGGGTGTTCAATAAACTAATTTAATCAAAACATAGTTAGGGTCATTAAGTTCAGATTTTTTAAAGGGTTATTTCACGTATAAATTTATATATGAATTTGTACTAATTTAGGTACATTTTTCTACACAACTAACAGACAAAATTGTACTATATATTTTTTTAAACTGTAGTTCTAGACTACCGTAAATGTGTGTATACAAGACCCGGGTCTCTTACATTCCACCAAAAAAATTAATTAGTAAAAAAAAGAAAATAATTAGTAAAAAATGAGGGTGGGTCCGATATATGGGGGGATCTTGTATCCGGCAGTTTTACGGTAGTATCATTTAGTGTAATCTTATACAGTATTATCTACTATATATATTATATAATATATTTTAGAACTAGGGCTACAATAATTAGATTCATTTTTCTAAATAATAATCTCAGATATAATACTTTGTATATATATAATAACATACAAATACAGTATACTGTATTTATATTAGATGTAAACATTTCACTTTTTCAGATAGTCTACGATGTTGAACAACACAGTTTTTGCACACATGAATCATCCTTACAGCGTAGAAGACACGATGACTCATTATTCTCATTATTCTCCTAAAAAATAAATTCTTAAAGGTTAATAAATTGACAGTATAATAATAAACCGACAAAAAAATACATGCCAATTCTCCAAATTCTGGTTGTATGGTCGTAGAGTGTATACCATAAGTATGAAGTATATTTTTTACATTAGTAATTAAACTCATATAATCAACAGATGGTAACAATCTGATATGAACAGAGGCAATATTTTTCGCATTAGAAAGTTCCCACACATGTAATTCGTGAACGGATAAAATTCCGGAAACCTAAAAAAAATTATAAATATTTGTTCAAATGTAAAAAAACTGGATCCAAGAACGTTTTCCCAAATTACAAAAGCTGTTGTTGTCTTACTTTTTTTGCAGCCGGTAAAACCATGAATACTTACTCTTTGGATTTTATCACGCACAGTGTCTATGGGAATTCCGAGTGGAGCACCTTGCAAAAGGACAGAAGACGCTTTACGAACTATAATATTTACATATCGATAGCATTAATTGAATCTGATGATCCCAAAATATTCAACTGAT